CACAGAGAGAGAGAGAGAGAGAGAGGAGGAGGAGGGAGTGGATGTTGTTTTTGCACTTAGTCTTAACATAATGTTTATTTATTAACTTTAACTATCACCCTTTACAAGCACTTCGGTAACACTGTCTTAGTCGTGCCAATAAAGCCTCGGGGGAGGGAGTCATTTTGACGATTCAGAACACTTTCAATGCATCTCAAAGCTCGGGTGCCAAATGAAAAAAGTCACTCGAGGATGTATTTTACACGGACGGATAAAAGACGACGTTGTTGTGCGTCGTTCTGTGTCTCGTGTTAATATTTAATAGACTCAATAAAGAGTGTTTAAACACGTACGTGGTGAAGGGAGGGACAGACAGACAGACAGACAGACAGACAGAGACACACACAGAGACACACACACACACACACACACACACACTCTATATGTGTGCCCCCTTATGTGCCCAATCCCCCCATGTGAACACACACACACACACACACACACACACACACACACACACACACACACACACACACACACACACACACACACACACACACACACACACACACACACACACACACACACATTATGCATGGAGTGTCAGAGCTCGTGCTCATCTGGCTGTGGCGCATCTTCCCGACAGCTTCATCTACTGTCGCACACTCTGGCGGTGGCTTCTGAACTCAAGGTCACAAATGAATCAAAACATCGATACGTGCTGTCGCCCCGTCACCTGTACCAACAACATTGATTCAGTGCCTCATGAATTATGCAAAACGCAACCTGGGACGTCGCTCAGAAAGAACCTGCGGCCAGCTCGGATATTTTTGGTGGATGTGCAAAACTCCTCGAGGTTGTGAGCATCAGCTGTTGCTGTTTTGTGTGAAGTGTGCACAGGTGCTTCACAGCAGAGGAGGGCTCGGTTCATTACCACGCGGGGGCACCACTAAATACTGTTGATATTTACATTAATGATGTGACCGTCTTTGTTTCCTGGAGATATTTAATTGCTCTTTTTACTGCAATGTTAGTTCGTCCTCATGCTGCTGTGTGTATTGTGTTTTTGTAACTCTGGCACAACGATTTCCTTCTGGATGAATAAAGTCCTCTCTTATCTTAACATCGAGCTCCTTCTATTTCCAGGATGCTTTTATTGTGAAAAACATCAGAGTGTTCTTTCGCCCTTCAGCCTTTTGTTTCTGCTTTCATACCTGTCACATTATATAAAGAAGGTCAGGTAAATCATACGTTACAATTTCAGAGTGCGAGGGAAACGATCAAATCAAATGAGGCTGAAAAGGCTTAACAAGTCTCAATATTCCTAAATGTCAACATGCCTACGTCGCTCTCAGTCACGCTGTTATATTGGTCTTTTTCCTCTCCTGTCTCCACAGATGGAAAGTGACACCGGAGACAGAGACGGAGGATAATAATGATGGAAGACGGAGTGATCAGTCCGGAGCCACAGCATCGCTCAAACCCTCTGCTGCACAGCGACGCTCCCTGAAGGACACGTCGACCTTGACATATTGCAGCGTTCATGACGAAAGGTTGCCTCTCCTTTTGCCAAGAGCTGGAAGACGACAGGGCCAAAAGCTTTCCGGGGACCGAGCGTCAGCAAGAAATCCACTTTGTCTTGCTGCAGTAACAAATGAGCCTTTATTGGTGAAGCTCAAAGTGCTAACAGCTGACTCCATACGGGCCAATTACTGACGGGAGGGGATACGGGGCCAAGATGAAGGACACAGCGTTTGTGGCTTGTTTGCTGGCGGAGCTGTCTTTTGTTCTGGCCTCAGAGGGGGCTGCTCATTGCCCGGCGTTTTGTCGATGTGAGATACGACCCTGGTTCTCACCCAGCTCTGTTTACACCGAGGCTGCCACGGTGGACTGTAATGACTTGGGTCTCTTGGCGCTGCCGGAGAAGCTCCCCTCGGAAACACAGGTGCTGCTGCTGCAGACAAACAACATCGTTAACGTGGAGACAACTTTGGATTACTTGGCCAATATCTCTGAAATCGACTTGTCTCAGAATAACATTTCCTCAGTGAGCGATGTTAGCCTGGGCTCCCTCCCCCGGCTGCTGTCACTCCACATGGAGGAGAATTGGATCCAGGAGCTTTCTGACGGCTGCCTCTCTTCCTGGCCCAATCTCCAGGAGTTTTACATCAACCACAACCTGATTTTCTCCATCGCCCCCGGAGCTTTCCAGGGTCTGAGCCGGCTGCTGAGGCTCCATCTCAATTCCAATCGCCTGACGAGTGTAAACAGCCAGTGGTTCCAGTACCTCCCCCACCTTGAGATCCTGATGCTGGGAGAGAACCCCATCATTCGGCTGTCAGACATGAACTTCAAACCCCTGGCGAACCTCCGAAGCCTCGTGCTCGCCAAGATGAATTTGACTGGAATGCCCGATAACGCTCTGGTTGGACTTGACAATTTGGAGAGCATTTCTTTCTTTGACAATTTGCTCAATTGTGTCCCCAGAGCGGCGCTGACTAAAGTCAAGAACTTAAAGTTTCTGGATTTGAATAAAAACCCGATTGAGAGGATCCAAAGAGGAGACTTCATGGACATGATGCATCTCAAGGAGCTGGGCATCAACAGCATGCCCGAGCTCGTGTCCATTGACAGTTTCGCGCTGAACAACCTGCCAGAGTTGACGAAAATCGAGGCCACCAACAATCCCCGTCTGTCCTACATACACCCGACAGCTTTCCACAAACTCCCCAGGCTGGAGACCTTGATGCTGAACAGCAACGCTCTAAGCGCGATCCATCGAAGCACGGTTGAATCCCTCCCAAATCTGCGGGAGGTCAGTTTGCACAGCAACCCCATCCGATGCGACTGTGTCATTCGTTGGGTCAACATGAACCGGACCACCGTTCGATTCATGGAGCCCGACTCCCTGTTCTGCGTGGAGCCTCCGGAGTACCAAGGCCAGCACGTCCGAAAGGTGCATTTCAGGGAGATGACGGAGATCTGCCTTCCTCTGATATCAACGAAGAGCATCCCGGATCACGTGGAAGTCTCTAAAGGGAGTAAAGTGTCGCTGCACTGCCGGGCATTTGGAGAACCGGAGCCTGAGATCTTCTGGGTGACGCCAAAGGGTGACAAGGTCCTACCTGGAAGTGCGTCCGATAAATACTACATGCACCCCGAGGGAACCTTTGACCTCTACGATGCCACGGAGCAGGAAGCCGGATCGTACACCTGCGTCGCCCACAACCTCGTCGGGGCAGACCTGAAATCGGTGATGGTTTCGGTAGACGGATCCATCGCAGAGCTTTCTAACCAACCTGTCCACGTCTTTATCACATCGGTGCAGTCTCACTCTGTTAGGGTTTCCTGGGATAGCACAGGGGGTTTGGTATCGCAACTAAAATGGTCTGTTTTAGCCGACAGTGTGATGCCGTTCACAGCCAGACTTCCTGCCGACGTCAGAGATTACCGCATCAAACAGTTGAAGCCTTCCACGTGTTACCAGGTTTGTGTGGAAGTGCAGCCTGGATACAGCAGGGATTGTGTAAACGTCACCACGAAGGAGGCAGCGTTCCCAACGAGGAAGACGGAGAACTGGGACGGTCTGGTGATGGCTTCTTGTGCCGTGTTTTTCATCGTGGTTGCCGTGGCTTGCTCCTTGATTTATACGTCTCTGTACAGCCAAATGTTTTACAGGAAACTGATCGCAGATCCTGATGAAGCGCTGCTTATTCCCAGCACTCAACCCTCTTCTTCTTCCTCTTTCCTGGAATCCTGTTCTGGGACCAAGGTGAGGGCCACCGCAATAGACTTACCGGACATGTAAGAAAATGTCCTTGTATGTAAAAGCACTTTGGGATTAAGTGGAAAACGAAGAGTGATTGACACGGGACATTCGGGACAATGTCATTTATGGGCTCTCTTTTCAGGACTTTTGATGGGACATTTTGCACTGGATCTCAGCTCGGTGGCATCGGAGGAAATGTATTGATATTTACATAAATTGCTTAAAAGCAGAGACTATTTTGTATTTCCAACCTGTGTCGATATAACAAGCGTAATCAGGCAGATATCTTGACTATAATCTACATGGCTCCTGGTCATCGATGCAGTGCAACTGGAGTAAAGCACAGCAGAGGAACTGTTTAAAATACTTTGTCGGGATGGCTTTTATGTCTGCAAAAAGCTCTTTCTTTGCTGTGTTTCATTAAACGGTGCCAAGCGAAGATTTGTTATAGCAGGAAAAAAAAAAACCTTGTTAGTCTTGTGTACAATTAAACCGACTGTAATGTAAACAATTTTATGAACAAATACATTTTTCATTAAACCTGTGTGGTGTCTAATACCTGCAATCTTTTCTCGTTAAACGTGGACAACAAAAGCCTTTTGAAATATGTGCATTGCCACAGAAAACAAACCATTTTCTTTGAGATGCAAAAACAGTCATTTGTATGGATGAGGCTCATAAATCTGGTCCCAATCAAACGGCAGCGGAGGTGTGAGCTCTGCTTTAGACAAACTCAATTACAGCAGCGACCCGCCAACACTGTTAGGGAAATGCAATTCAATTTCAAAGTGTGTGTGTGTGTGTGTGTGTGTGTGTGTGTGTGTGTGTGTGTGTGTGTGTGTGTGTGTGTGTGTGTGTGTGTGAGAGAGAGAGTGTGTGTGTGTGTGTGTGTGTGTGTGTGTGTGTGTGTGTGTGTGTGTGTGTGTGTGTGTGTGTGTGTGTGTGTGTGTGTGTGTGTGTGTGTGTGTGTGTGTTAGAGAGAGTGTGTGTGTGTGTGTGTGTGTGTGTGTGTGTGTGTGTGTGTGTGTGTGTGTGTGTGTGTGTGTGTGTGTGTGTGTGTGTTGTAGTCAGTCCAGACCAATGGCACGGGCAGGGTTAGGTTTTGGTTAGGGGTAGTGTTATGGGTTCCGGTAT